TCTGATTGGTGGAGAGGCTCCCCACTCCAAACGAGCCAACGGCAGACATTGTTGTTCCATCTGTTCCGCCGCTCATTGTTCGAACCAGAAACCTGTGGATGACACGGACCGGCGTCGGGCCGGAGCTGGACGCGGCGTCTTCACCTGCAGCGGCGTCTTCACCTGCAGCAGCGTCGGACGGAGCCGCCCCAACAACTTCCGATGCTTCTGTCCCGTCTCTTCCAGGATTTAAACGCGTGGAAATGAGACGCTCCAAGTCGCTGATCTTTGCTCCGGTGAGCGCTCTTATGGTTTTTGCTTTTTTGCTCATGTTGCACAGGACGGGTTTTAATGCAACATTCAGGAAATGATCATATTTGCTTTAAGACGCAAAACTGTTTTGCAGATTATGACCTCAAATGTGGCGTGCTGGTAGCTGAGAGTCGTCCACAACACGCACTCTGAGCACGAGCTTAAATTACTCCCATCATGTCTCAGTGGTGATGTTCACTTCCTCCAGTTATTAGATCGTTGATCTTTAGCAGGTGTCTCGAACCTGTGCAGAGCTGCAGCGTCATTAAAAAAAAAAAAGACACGGCCGAGTTTCATTAGTTTGACGTGAAAAAAGCTAAAATGAGCTGAAGTCTTTGTGGAGTTCAGCTGATGTTGGAGAAACGATTCACTTCAGTTTTCCCTGCAGCGGCAGAGAAAACTCCAGTTCAGGTTTCAGGTTGATGTGAAACCTGAAGCAGAGGAGGAGGGGGCCGGGGGGGGGGGGGGTGTCAAAAACCCAAACGCAAGCTTTTACTTTTTTAATTAAACAAAACCAGGATTTAGAGAGTGTCAGTTTGCTGCTCGTCATTGTCTTCTGTGTGTGTGTGTGTGTGTGTGTGCATCCTCTGTAGACATCTGTTGCCCTGTTGTTGCTGATGGTGGGGATAACCCAGCTAGCCCCCCCCCCCCCCCCCCCCCAGCTGATTCTGCCCCACTTTTTTTATACACCAACTTTAGCACAGTAGTGTGCAGAAATGCCCCCCACCCTCTTACTCCCTGCACACTCTTCCTGTCTTACGTATTCTTTGTTGGCTGATGTGTGTGTGGGGGGAGGTGGTGGTGGTGGTGGGGGGGGGGGTTTGGGGGCTGATGTTTGAAAGATGCACCCATTCAGTCTGGAAACGGTGGGATGAAGTCTCTTCTCTGTCGGTCCGTTAAGAGTTGGGCCTCATTATGGGGAGGGGGGTGTAAAGCTTGGACCACACTGGATGACTTTTAGAAATGTAACGGTAAAATATATATATTTTTTTTAACATACAAACTGTCCTCCGTCGCTACTATCACGGTTTTTCAAAACAAGATTGGGCTGATTGATGGATGAGCCACACGATCGGTATGGAAGTTTTATTTAAATTAAATTTAAATTATTTAGCACCTCCTGCACCTGTGTGCAGCCCACACTGCAGGAGAAGCTTCCTCCTTCAGCATGTCATGATCTCTCTCTGCTCTGCAACGGAGAAGTGGGCGTGGCCGAGAGAGCACTGGCTCTGTTTTTTTTTTTTGGAGCATTAAGAGTTTAGAAACTTTGTTTTTAAAATGCCTTAAAAAAATTATATATATATATTCATGTTTTTTCACTTATCGCGGGGCTTCAGGGTACAGATCCCCTGCGATAAATGAGACTACTGTATATTCATGCACATATACACTAGGAATGTGCGATATGGCATAAAATTCATATCACGATATGTATTGTGAAGGGTGGCGATAACGATATATATCGCAATATGTTTTTGGTATAAAACTTGCAATCGGAATTTAAAAAAGCATAGTGTGTCCTTTTGCCATCATTTATTTTGAATTAAGAAAATTCCACTACTAGGTCCAGAGTTTTTAAATAATAAACAAATCAAGTATTAGGCTTCTTTCTTGTAGTGCAAAACAGTGCAAAATATATCAAATGTAGTTTTAGCCTCATGTTTTAAACAAAGAATATGTTGTTGACTCTTAACAGTTTCCAGTCTTACTTAATAAATGAACAGCAACAGAGCAGCATTTTACACCGAAACACTTCACCCTCCAAACCTCTAGTGGGCGTCTCCTTCTGCTTTAAGGAGAGCTGACACAAAATGGCGACCAGTTTCCTCTGTGGCTTTCATCAGAGGGTCTCGCAGTAAAATCACACAACACAGCGTTCTTTTCACAGATCAGAGAGCAGGTTTCTCGAAAGATGACCAACATTTACTTTAACTTTCGACGGAAAAAGAAAAACTCGACGGAACACTGCGTTTTGCGCATGCGTCAGAATACGGCAACACTACGGCAAGCCGGATGTAGTTAGCTTGTAGCTTCACTACTTAGCCCTCGAAGAAATGACTTTAACGCCGCTTGCGCAGTTTTCACCTAAAAAAAAAAAAAGTAACGATTAAATCTGCCAACTGATTTTACATCAGACACAGCATTACTGCGGTTAGCCGGTAGAAGACAGATCTCTATCGTAGCTAAATTTCAATCGTTTCTACCATGTATCGTTTATATCGCGCATTCCTAATATACACAATGATTTTTAGTTTTTATTTTGCCTAAAAGTTTTGTTTTCTCAAATGTTTGGGGTGGCCAAAGATTAATCTATAGGGGCCAAGGTCACCATTGGCCACCTCATGGCTCCACCCCTGGCGGTGGATAAAACGGCTCCCTCCACTCTTCTTGATCTGTCACTCTGCACCGCCTCGGACAAGAAAAATAAAAGCCTTCTCCACAGTGAAGTTCCAGTAACTTATTCTAAAGAGGAATTCCTGTCGTCGTTTGAAAGAGGAAACCTCCGTTTGGGTTTTTCAGCAGGTGTTGAAAATACGTTTCGCTAACAATTTAGGGCTTTTCTTTTCAAAAATCACTGTTTGTTGTCGTTTCTGCTCAGAAAAGTGCTTCAACATCTTCCTCGGGATTATATTTCAGAGCTTTCCTTTAAAAGACCCATTTATTAAACAGATTATTTTTTTTGACAAAATCCAATTATGGCAAATTTAAAAACCGACACGGTTGGACATGACGCGTCCCTCAGATCGTTGTTCGGCAGTTTGTCCCTGTGATTTGACGTTGCAGTGACAATACATTAACAAATACGTTAATTAATATCTAAAAAAAAAAGTAAAATCTGGTCCTCTGGATATTCTAAAAAACAACAAAACTTTTTTTTTTTAATACATACCAATTTTTTTTGAATGTCCAGAGGACCAGATTTACCTTTCGTTAGATTTTTCTACCTGGATTATTGAGCATGCATCAGGATATTAATGAGTACGTTTAACGTGGCTGAGCAGATTTTTACAGTTTAACATCGTTGGATGAGGTTAAATGCAGTTTACGGATTATTTTAAAGTTTAACGAGTAAATCTGTGCACGGCATTAAAACAGCTCGGTTAGGGGCTGAGCCTCGTCCTGAGGTACTGGTTGGTGTGCGCGCCCACAACGGTCCCTGTTCGTAATCGCTGCTGCAGGTCTATTGTTGAGGCACACTTAAGCCCTGTTCCCCCCCACCCCACCCCACCCCCACCCTGTAAGACTTTTGTCATGTTTGTGTGCAAGTCGGGGCGCTGGCTGAACTCTGCTGCCTCCGCCTCGACTTTTAGAAAAGGGGAATGCTTTCAGCCGCTGTAGCGTAGCAACAAGACCAGCAGCGGGGGGGGGGGGGGGGGGTCTTTTGCTCATATGCTGACTGTTCATCCTGTAGATTGATGTGATGTGGCATGGCACCGTTTTCAAAACATACTGAGGCAGGAGTCCATTAATTAGAGTGAGGGGGGCCCCATTGATTCATCGTCTATGAAGATAAACGAGTCTCAGAAGTGGTCGCTCATGGGGGGGGGCCACAAGTTTTGCAAATGCGCACTACAAGATTCACAATTTATAGTTTTACAAATGTACACATTTCAGTCTGTGACTGAGACTTTTGAGACTTTCTTCCAGATTCACAAAGGGAACGCTGCGTTCAAGGCTGGTGGAAAGGTGGGACATCTGAGGTACCATATTTAGAGTTCATGGGGAAAAACAAAACATTTCTGACAGCGCAGTAGCTCATATTTATATTAAAATGCATAATGCTTACATTGATATTAGAGCCCCAAAATGTAAATTTTGTGGTCTGAGTAGTTATTATTGAGTAAGTTGTTCTTCGTGTAGAAAAACTACCCCAAATTTTAATTTTTTTGTAGGGATGCGCGATATTATCGGCATGGTATCAGTATCGGCCGATACTGGCGATAAAGGTAAATATCGGCCATTCCATCAAAAAAACTCCGAACCGTTTCGGTTATTTTTTCACTCATTAAATTTTATTAAGTGCCGCGGAACTAAAATTCCTAAGCGTGTTTCAGCACGGCGCTATTATCCTGAAGCACGCGTAGCATCAGCAGACACGCTTGCGGTCTCCTGCTTGGGAACATTGTGGCTTTCTTGTTAAAAGACCAGTGAACAAATCCAAAGCTGTTTGTCGACGTTGCTTCACGGAGAGTGGATCTGCAGCAGACTGATGTGTCCTATCCGTTTACGAATGTGATAAAACTCTTGATTAATCTTAGATGTAGTAGAGTGCTGTATGAATGGGTAAATGAGGACACATTGTGTTGTAAAGAGCTTTGAGTATCTGTAGAAGTACAGTCCATTTACCATTCACTTTTGAAACTGACTTATCTTCACGTGTCTGGCAGCTCAGGCGTCACAGGTAGATCATACCAGATCAGAGTTTTACAGAAACCGAGTGTTGACTCTGATTTATTGTGCAAACAAAGTGTCGTTTAGCAAAGTGCTGCTGTAATCTGTTCACACACAGCATCGCCCGTTTAACCCTGCGTGGACCTGCATCATCATGTACAACACGGGAACACGAGTTTTTTGTTTTTATGTATATTAGCGCTAACGACACTAAACCAAGTCCCTCGGTGCTCCTCTCTGTCTCTTTAGGATCGATGAGTCGAGTTCTCTGAGCGGGGTGGACTCAGACCGGTGTGCTGGATGTCTGTGACAGATCCATGGGTCAGAAGGACCATGTGGAGGCAGGAGACGTCCTCGACTTGGGGTCGAACTTGGAGTATCTCCACGTAGCGGGGGCTGACCGGCAAGCTGGCGGCGCTGACGGGCCCCCTGCTATGGAGGGGCAGGAGGAGACCTGCGGCGGCACCACCACCACGGCCAGTTCCCCTCCATCGGCCTGGATAGAGGAAAGCGGCGGGCCCGGAACAGAGTGTGAACCGGCGCCATCTTCCAGCTTCGCTCGTGCTGCAGGCGGTGACTCGGATGGAGGAGAAGGTGCCTCCGTCTGCAGTAAAAACACCCACCAGCCGCTGTGTCGGACTCCGTGTGTGGACTTGGGCACTGATGGGCCTCCTGACCCTCCGTCCGAACGTTCAGCTGAAGAAGAACACGATCCGCTGGACCTGCCGGACCCTCCACCCTCTACTTCTGAACCGGCGCCCGGGGTGATGGGGAAAGCCTACCAGGCCAAGCTGGAGTTTGCCCTGAAGCTGGGCTACTCTGAAGAGACGGTGCGACTGGTGCTGTCCAAGCTTGGCCCTGACACCCTCATCAACGACATCCTGGGCGAACTGGTCAAACTGGGCACCAAGTCCGATGGCGAGCAGCCTGCTGGAATATTAACCTCCGCCTCATCCACGTCTTCGTCTGCCTCCTCTTGCGGTTGCTCCGACGTTCTGGACGGCCAGCGGTCGGACTCGCCCTGCTCTTCGGATTCTGTCTGCGATCAGGACAACCTGCGGCCCATCGTGGTGGACGGCAGTAACGTCGCCATGAGGTGAGCAGCCTGCACAATGAGTACTTTAGTTTTATTATTTGATCAAACACAGTAAAACCAAACTTATTATATGGTGCCTCTCTGTAGCCATGGCAACAAGGAGGTGTTTTCCTGCCAGGGCATCCAGCTGGCTGTAGACTGGTTCCAGGAGCGGGGTCACCAGAACATCACCGTTTTCGTGCCTGCATGGAGGAAGGAGCAGTCCCGCCCCGATGCCCCGATAACAGGCAAGTCCCGTAAACTGTTTGCACGCACCTTCACCGTAGCACGGTGTTCTTCAACTCCCACTCCTACAGATCAGGAGATTTTGCGTCGCCTCGAGAAGGAGAAAGTCCTCGTCTTCACTCCCTCGCGGCGCGTTCAAGGCCGCCGCGTGGTCTGCTACGACGACCGCTTCATCGTCAAGCTGGCCTACGAGTCAGACGGCATCATCGTCTCCAACGACAACTACAGAGACCTGGCTAACGAGAAGCCCGAATGGAAGAAGTTTGTAGACGAGCGTCTGCTCATGTATTCCTTCGTCAATGACAAGTAGGTACAGGCGGGACAGACGGTGATTTGTAGTTTTAATTAGGAGCAAACCTTCCGTTTACACTTTTGTCTTATATTTCAGATTCATGCCGCCAGATGATCCTCTTGGTCGTCATGGGCCCAGTCTAGACAACTTCCTGAGGAAAAAGCCCATCATGCCTGAGCAGAAGAAACAGCCCTGTCCATACGGTGAGCATTCCTTATTTCTTTATATTTTACTTCCAGACTTTCTCGGGGGCCAAGATGGGGCAGAGGCAGGGCAGCCGACTAGGGACCGGAAAGTCCCAGGTTTGATCCCCAGCCATTCCCATGCCGTGGTGTCTCTGAGTAAGACACCAATCCCTAATTGCTCCCCACTGCTGCACCTGGGTGTATCCCAGGTGCGATGGGTTAAATGCAGAGAACTAATTTCGCCGTTGTATGGGAAAATACAATGAAGACAACACATAGCACTTATATCTTACCTTATATATTCTTGTAATATTTCAAAATGGTAATTTTTCTCTTCTGTACCTTTTAATTTTTAGATAACCATCTCTGACTATTTGCACTTGATGGTATTTCTCTATTCTACGAAAAGTAATTGTGACATGTGAAAACTCTTAATTACTATAATATATATATATAAATAATTTTTATCCTAATTTTACTGGTGCAATGCATTCTGGGGCAAGGATGTACATCGGTTGTAGTAGAGACTAACTGCCGGCACCGACGTAGTGCTAAGCTAGTGGCGTGCAATACAGATGTAGCGCTCAGTTTCCCTCACACATCTCCACCCCCCGCTCGAAAACTGTCGGTACAAACAGCGACGCAACACAGACGCGTCTCTGTCCCCCCCATACTGACAAAAACCATGGAAGATATGAATGCCCTGCCAAGGCAAGTAAGCTAGGGGAAACACTGTATAGGGTGCATGCTTAGGCCAGTCGCAATAAATCAGTTAATCGCATGATGAATGAAAATTATCGACCTCGATTTCATTTTTTGGCTTTATCGTTTCTTCGTCTCTTTCTACTGAAGACACTGGATGACAAAAGGCTCAACTCCGGTGCTCTTCTCTGACCCCTCCCTTTCTCTTTAAAATCTGTTTTAACCGTCCAAAATTGCGTTTTTGGATCGTTAAAAGCAGCTAAGCGGAGAAGCTAAGCTACGAGCTAAGATAACAGGAAAAAACCTCCGTCTTGTCGAAGCTCCAAAATTCACGGTTGAAACTCGTGCCTTCGTGTAAAAAGTTGTTTTTCTCTGCTAAAAGAAGCTGAGAACTTGTTTACCGATTTTTATTTTTATTTTTAAACTAAAAGCTTTGTGTTGTGCTAAAGAGCTCAAACTACACCGAGTGTCCGCCATTTTGAGAACCGAAGAGAGACAGCCCATGTCACGTCAAGGGGCCTCCCTCCCATTTTTCTTAGAGACACTGCTCACTCCCTTAATATCCAGCCTTGGGTTAAAACAGTCTTATACTGCCATCCAGTGGTCAAAAAAGGTACTACACACAAAATTCACCATTTCTTCTTAATTTTGACAATAATAATAATAATGTCATCACAATGTCAGCACTGTATGTTTCCATACAATGGCGAAATTAGTCTCTGCATTTAACCCATCCACCACCAGGTGGTGCAGTGGGCAGCTATTGAAAGCGCCCGGGGGACATTTTGGGGATTAGACGTGCTGCCCAGAGACGCCACGTGATGTGCAGTGACTGGGGATCGAACCTGGGACTCTCGGGTCCCAAGCCGGCTGCCCTGCCTCTACACCATCTCGGCCCCATAATGACTATTGTCAAATTTCAAACAATATCGTTTATCGCAATAATTTGAGACAATCATCCATCAAAATTTGTTATAGTGACAGGCCTATCCATGCTGTGACATCATCTCTGAAATGCTTTCATTTCTTGTGGCACTGTCCCTCAACACGATGAGGAAGTGGTGGTTCAGATGTAGTTTGCAGTTTTTCTGGGCGGGTTCTTCAGTGACGTAGCTCCGCTGGCCAATCAACGTCTGCTTACGTCAAAATCTTCACCTCGGAGCAGTTCGCTTGGAACCACGAATGAGGTGGTCCAATAATCAGGGCTGAGTGGGGGTGGGTACCGGCTATGGGTGGGCCCTTAAGTGGTGCAGTGTGAGGAGGAACTGGTGAGAGTTGAGGCAGTGGCCATGGCACCAACAGTTAGCTCTGGAGCTGACGTGAAAACTGAGTAATTTCTACATTTTTCTGTCTGAACGTCAGATAATTTCGAAAAGTAACTTTCAAGCTGTTATTTACTCAAAATACAGTTTTTATTTTTTTATTATAAAAGCTAAACAGCCCACAGTAATCTCATTTTATAGCTGAAGTGATTTTTTTTAATCACATAAGCTCTATTGTTCCAATGTCGGAGATCATTTTAAGACATAAAAATTGTCCCCAAACTCAAGAAGTGAACATGATTTTGTTTTTTAATCGTATCTTTAGGGACTTTGTTACCAACAGATCGTCACAAAGGCACACATTTTCAAATGTTATTGATTTAATTTATACAAAATACAGAAGGTCAGTTCAGGAGACACCTGATGGGATTAAAATCCTGTCAAAGAGCTCAAATTTGTCAATTCAATCTCAGATTTTTGCTGGAAATCTTTTATCTGTGGCTGAGTGGTTAGAGCGGTCGTCCTCCAGTGGGAGGTTTGGGGTTCGATTCCACCAGCAGTCACGTTGACCTGGGCAAGACACTGAACCCCTCACTCACCCATCAGCCCATTGAAGAGGTTGCACCATAATAAGACCCACACCCAGCAGCCTCGTTTGGTAAACGTGTTCACTTCAAACACTTTTGCACTTCAGTTTTTCCTACAGGAAGTGCAAGAGCTAGCTGCTGCTGTTTGAGCTTGATAATAATAAAGTGATTCAAGTTTTTATGTTACAGCAGCATCAACCCACTTTGGTCTCGGCCTCACTCAGTCCAGTTTTCAGCTCGTTAAGGTTAAATTACATTTGTCCAAATTGAGGGGACGTATAGCAGTGTTCTTTCAAAATTAAAGTCTACATGAAGATCTTCAGCGTGTCGCATTGTACAGATTACAGGTTCAGTTATTAAAAAATAAATATGTTTTTATATTTAACTGCGCGTGGAAACTGAAACGTGTTTCTTTGCTTCAGGGAAGAAGTGCACCTACGGCCACAAGTGTAAGTACTACCACCCTGAGAGAGGAGCTCAGCCTCAGCGGGCCGTGGCCGACGAGCTGCGTGCCAGTGCCAAAACCTGCGCCCCCTCCAAAAACCAGGGGGACTCGGGACTCGTGAAGAGCCACAGCGTGCCGGCTGGAGTCATAGAGGCCAAAAAAGGTGCTCCTAACAAGAGACAATCGGATCCCAGCATCCGGGCTCTGTCGTACAGCGACGCCGAGGAGAAGCTGCTGGCCAAAGGCCACAAGAGCAGCTTGTGTGGCAGCAGCGGCTCCACCGGGAGTTCGAGCCCGTCTCCGGCCCTGGCGGGACCCCCATCTGGCCTCGGCCTTCCACAGGACCAACAATCCAGAGCTGTAACGCACCTTCCAGCCCCCAGCCACGACCTCTACCCTCACTGCGAGTCTCCAGACATAAGCTACTACTCTGTAACCCGGGCGTACTCCGGCCTGAGCCTTACATCCCGACGGAGCCCGGACTGCCGCTTCACCAACGACCCAGACCTGCGCCACGGCTCAGTAGGCTCGGCGGGCTCTGAATGTGGCAGCGAGAGCGGCGTCAGTTGCGGCAGCAGTTGCGACTCCTACAGTGAAAGGTCGTGTCCCGCGTGTCATCCAGATCCTTTACTGGAGGACGGCGTTCATTTTGCAACCCCCCACAGCCGCCTGTACCTCCCCCACATCTCATCGAACCACGAGCCGTGCGCTCTGCACGCCGTTGAGTACCAGAACGTTCCACACAGCCACACACCGAACCCAGGACTGCACGCCTACCACCTGAGCCCAGTGTGCGGGCAGAGCTGCATTCATGATCAGCCTCCGCCAGAAGCCCCATCGAAGCGGCCTCTCTACCCCCTGCCTCCCCATCTCCAACACCAGCCACTCGCCGCTCGCTCCAGCTGTCCCGGCGACTACCAATCTCTGCCCCAACCCAACCACCAGCCCCCTGGCTCTCCTCTCGGCCGCTGCCTGGCCCCGACACTAGCCGAGAGCGTGTCCGACTCCCACCTTTATGAACATCTGTCTACCACCCACCACCACCACCGGCCTAAAGCTCTGCCTGGCTGGGACTCGTTCTTCAGGCAGCCTCCGCTGCCGTCATCCAAGTACGAGCCGTCGGCCTTTCAGAGCCTGCCAGACACGCGCCAGTCATCTTGGCATGCCCCGCCCTGGCTCCAAGACGGCTACAACCAGCATCACTCCTCTCACCCGGCTCTCCACCCGTCGCCCACACATTACCTCAGCCACCCACCACCTCCAGCTCACTCCCCCCACCTGCCTTACGCACCACACAGCTCCCATCTGGCAGTTCCCTCCCACGCTCCTCCCCCTTACGCACCGCCACACCCGGGGTCACCTGTGCACAGCCGTTACGAGGACATTAGGGAGAAGGCGTATGTAAACCTGTGTAACATCTTCCCCTCAGAGCTGGTGAGCCGCGTAATGGCCAGGAGCCCCCACGTCACGGACCCCCAGCAGCTGGCTGCTGCCATACTCGCAGAAAAGGCTCAAACCGGTTACTGAAGAACCCAGAACAGTAGGATCTTCAGTCATCTACCAGGAGAGAGATTCTTGAGACTCTAAATTGTAAAGACGATGTGAAAACGCTAACAAAGGAAAGACGTTTGACTCAAGTGAGACCAGAGTCAAACCCACACATTCTGTGCGTTCCTAACACGAGTCAAAGCTTTCCTTGCCTGTAGGGGACACACAGTCAGGCCTTGTTTACACGACAACAGCCCTTGTTCTCCGAACTGAAGGTTTCTGAATCCAGGATTCGGAGCGGAGGTTTTGGGGGGAACCTGCAGAAGTGTAAAATACTCCAGGAGGCTGCACTCCAAAGTTTTCTGCTCTAACAGTTATGTTATTAATGGTGGAGAGCAGAATGTTTTTCTGCTACTCACCTTTTTTCAGCACATAGGAGCAAACCAACAACCTCCTAGGTCCAAAAGAACGTTCCTCTAGTCACCAAATTGGGTGTAACTAATGCTGAGCATCAGGATTGCCAGATAAATATAAATGTTTTTTTCTCCCTCCTTCTCTGTGCACATGTCCACCAAACACAACACCCTCGCTCAGCACATGTGACTGTTTGGGTCAACATGGATTCATTTTAAAGCGACAGCACAATCGTTTATTTCTTATCTGGCAACCCTGCCTGACATGGAAACTAGTGTTTCCATGTAAACGCATCGTTTTTTCTCATTTATTCACCCCAATAAACATTGAAAGAACACCTCATGTTCTTGTGTAAACAGGGCCTTTCACGTAATGATCGTTATTCAACAATTCTTACTCTGGTGGTCTCATAGAACCACAGTTCGACTCTGGTCTGGGTCTAATGACCTTTATACGTGTCGTGTGGTTTGTGGGAGTTTTTTGCGGTGTTTGGCCATCTGAGATGACATCTCTTTTGTTGCTGTAGAGATGGGTGACCCTGTCGTGTGTACCTTAGTTTTAGTAAGGGACATCTTTCTCTCTGGCCCTGTATTCTGGGTCGGCTCTGGTTTCTGCTACAGACGCAGCACGAGTAAACGAAGCATGCGTTGTAAATATATTTAACACGTTTCCTCGGCTGTGCTTTTTTTTTTTTTTTAATGTTTAGGCAACAGCATCCGCTGTTTTCTCTAGCAGATCCCATCTGAATCCACGCTAGACGGAGAAAAACCGTGTTTGATACAAATTGTATCATGAACTAAGTCGCTGATGTTCTATACAGTACATGGACTCGTTGATCCGCGTCTTTAAAAATGAAACATTTCATGTATTGCTATATAACCATTCTGTTCAAATCTAAATGTTTCGACTTTAGCTTTGAGACGTTTTTAATGTTTCAAACGAAGAGTGGGGTGCCTTCTTTGAGCTTTTGGGTTTGAAGCTGGCTTTATTTTAAAGAATTAGCTCTGATTAAATCAAATAACCATTTATTTGAGGTAACTTTGCTTATATGCAAGTATAAGGTCAAACTTACACCTCTAACAGCTTGAAAAAGGGAATACCGTTAATAGATTAATTTTCGAGTCCCACTTTAGGGCGCCAAAATTTGAGGATTTTTTTGTGATGCATAAAATCGATATGTTCACCGTATTTACCAAGAAATATTGAACTAGCTGTTCAGATAAGATGCTTGTATTTGAAAAGACATTTATATTTGCTGTGAATTTACAGTTTTACTTACAAATGTAAGAAAGTTCACATTTTAAATGACAGGTCATTACATTTACCCTACACAGTATAGGCTCGGTGGTTATTTACAATTTGCTAACAAGTTTAAATTAAAGATTAGATTAAATTGGAGACTGTATTTCAAGAAAAAAAAAAGAAAATGGCGACACGTCATTTTGAAGGTTGGCATCTTGAAGAAAATATCGTCAAACGTTCTGAAATCTAAAATAAAACTAACCTTTATGAAAACAGATTGGTTTCATTTGCATAAACATTTTTTAATTTCAAACTGATTTAAATTATGATATTTTATACATTTTAAAAACATAAGGTAAGGTAATTTACTGCTTTTTCACGATTTTGACCCAGTTTTTGTTTCTTCAGCGTCCGATTCAGAGGCAGGTTTTCCAGCCTGCTCACAACTTCTTTACTCGGCACTACAGTTATTTTTAAATGTCATATTTCAACATTTTCCATGGTTATAGTACTTAAACATATTAGTTTGTCAAGTATTAGCCTGAAAGTAGGGGTGGGCGATATGGCTTCAATATCGTGATATTTCAGAGCATTTTGACGATAACAATAAATTTCGTGATATAAAAACAAAAAAACAAATCAGTTTTACATTTGACAAAATTAACTTAACATGTTGCTTTGCAGTATTGTATAAAAACTTACAAAAAAACAAGGGGTTATTTAGGGGGGGGGGGATCGATAAATCGGTGGTGGTGGGGGGAGAGAGACACAGTTGAGCTGTCAGTCTGTACTTGAAGTTTAGAGCTGGATGGAGAAATGCAGCCGAGCCGCGCGTTGTTTGTTTTTAGCATTTTAGCTAACTAATATTGTGCGCAGCTAATTAGCGTTACACCAGTACTGACAGGTGGACGGGGGGTGCGCAGTTAGGTTTGGTAGTTAGGCGCGCTTGGTTCTGTTAATGGGGCGAGGCAAACACAGACGTACTTATGTCATGAAATTAGCATATCATGATATCATTTAAATTCCCGGGCAAGCCTTTTTTTTTTTTACCGGTATCGTGAATGATACATGGCCCAGCCCTACCTGAAAGTAAAAACTTTTTTTGTTCACATGTATAGTTTAAATACTAGGTAAATAAGCCACTAATATCCCTTTATTAGGACGTTGAGGGTAAATGCAAGAACAAAAATGGCCGCCAAGACCATGAACTATAGGGAGGCAGTCTGTTAAAGCCAGCTAAAGCCCAAAGGCTTCCTTCCTGTCCAGCGTTAAACACGTGCAAAACCCCACGTGCCGTCACTGAGGGAGAACTTGAGTATCGACGTAGCGCCTCCTCTCTGGCCCCCTGGCACCGTGTGTCAGCGGGGCCCCCGAGTGTGGGCCCAAAGTAATGCCTCTCCGTGGCATTGTGCTTATGACACATCCAATACTCTGAACTATGTTCAGCTATTACGCATGATGATTTGTTTTCTTGCATGCTTTCTTGTATTTAATCGTCTGTTGTCTTCTTGTTGTAGTGTGCATTTTATTCTGCAGCCTACCAGGGTTGCACAATTTAAAAACACTTGACGATGCCGTTGCACGTAAACCCGCACATCGTCGTCTAAACCAGGTATCTGCGTCAAGAGTCGTCGGGAATTCATCCGATTGACCAGAAAAGTATTGCGCCCACAACGCCGTCACTCTCAAAGATAAAACAATGATGATAGATTTGCAATAAATTGTGCAGCCCTGCTGTTTACACCAGGGGTCTTGAACCTGCGGCTCTTTGAAACTTTGATCAAAACCAACATCAAATTAATCACTAAATATTTATTTCAAAGTGGGTATTGAATTTTTCCATGTAGGTCTGCAAAGTTCGTTTCAACTTTTATCAAAATTTTATGCTGTGAAATTAATTTCTTAACTTGAATATGTTATTAATTTGTCCTAGAATGTAAAAATATCAAGAAATGTTAAAATCTGTTATTTATTTTTTGACCAGAAAAAAAGCCCCGTCCAACAGTCAGAGCTGTAAGTCTCTTAAATCATAAATGTTGCAGACCCCTGGTATGTATGTGTGTATGTATATATATATATATATATATATATATATATATATATATATATATATACACACACACACACACCTGTACTGACAAGTTCACTGTAATAGGAAAACAATAACATTTCAATTTCACTTGTTATATTTTGTCAGTAGACTGTGTACATACTTGAAAACTGTGAAGAGTAATTGTTATCATTCAATAAAAACAATGAAATTATATAAAATGTGTTTTTCATTGCCAGCAAACTACGTTTTCTTTAATTTAGATTGATTTTTCCCACTTTAAACCAAATTACCATAATCCCCAGTGTAGAAGCTGCTACTTTTTTCTCACTTTGTACCCCACAGTTTATATGCAGGAGCGGATAATTTATGTATTTTTCTCATAAATTTGTTTATATTTTATTTTGACAAGTTTCCTTAAACAGAGGTGGGCGCTCATAGCTGCTCAGCGTCCACCTCTCTTGGGGGCAGGCTTTTGTTACACAGAGTAAAATTCTGTTAAGTGTAACTACTAATTTGACATTAAATCTAGTTTTCCAGCTTCAGATAATCTAAAAACAAAAAACAACTCTGATACCAACAAGATGCATCCTTTTTGTCTCGACTTTGGTTTTATTTATTCCTCAATTCCAGCAGTTTATAAGAACCATAAAGTGAAATTTAAATCAGTTAACTTGTGAAGCCTTGGAATGACCTCAAGACTCAATGACTACAGACCCTCCTCGGATCCCTCAGACCTTCTACATATCCAGAGACTGGTGTCTGTCACGGCCAAATTTAAAATTAATTTATTGTAACTTTGTTTATTAAATGAGCAGCCGTCTTTTTCAGCAACAGCCCTAAAACCAAAAAGGTTTTTTTTTTATGCTGGATGCCCTTCCTGATGCAACCATAGACCACTGAGCTACCACACCCTTCTGTGTGGGGCGGGGGGACCAGCCCAGGGGAGCAGATGGTGGGGGTTGAGGGTTTGGGAGTCTCTTTCTAAGAATGACTGTCACTGCTCTGCCTCAGAAAGAGAAGAGGGGCTCCTCGGCATTCACTAAGTAGGCCAGGCCACCGGGAAAATACGTTTAGAATTTTACGTTGAAAACCTACAAAAGAGAGTCTGCAAAAGTCAAACAATGAAGTACTGAGGGACTACAGTACACACAAACCGGTCCAACAGTCTTCGACCCGTCCAACTTAATTAGCCAACATTTATTTGTAGAGTCCTTTACAACAACCAAATGGTGCTCCAAGTGCTTCACGGTCTAAAAGTTACAACTGAGATTAAGAAAAGCAAGTGCCAGTAGGTATTAAAAGCCTGCCTGAATAAAAAGGTTTTAGGATTAGATTAAAAAGGCCCTAGATGAGTGATTGAGCACAGGTCCGGGTCTACAGTCTGGGTGCATTCAAACCACAACGCTTGAATTGGAGCTTCAAGTGAACAATAAAAGCTTAATGTCAATTCTAAAATTGACTGGAAGTCACGGAAGAGGAAGTTAAACCAGGGTGATGTGCTCAGCGTTTTGGACCAGTTCAAGATGGTTGAAGGAAGATTGGGAGGTTCCACCAGAAAGAGCGATACGGCTGATAATGGCCTTCTCCAGGTCAGGACGATTTTTATAAAAACTCGACTTTGGCTAAACCGAGAAACGACAAAGGCTACTAGCTTCTCAAACTTTGTCAAAAGTCAACTTTTTAAACTGTCATGAGAATTTTTGGTCAAAGGTTACGGACGTTTTATTAACATTCTTCCTCTGAGAATAAGCATCTCTTATCCTGAAGAAACGCCCGGGCGGTGAAGGCCAAGAGTTCCACAAGAAGCTACAGCTGGCTTCGAAGACTCCCACTAAACTACAGTGAACTCTGCTCAACTGATAAGGGTATAAAAGCAAGCGGTTAACGCAGCTCGGGGCAGATTCTCGTGACTGGTCTTCATGTGCATACATTTATGTAACCTGTCCTGAAAATCTGACCTTTCAAGTATAAATAACTACTCCCGCTGTTAAATGTGGTTCTTTTAGGTAAACTGAGATTTTCTCCAACATAAACCGTGGGTCTCAAGTTGGATGTGAGAGCACATCAACACCATCAAAGAACCTCCATTATTCCTTCATTTCAGACTTCGAAGACAAAAGGACGGGCTGTTGGGCCAGAAATACGTCATGTCGCAAGAGAACATCCAAAAAGCAGCACATGGTTCATTTAGAGCAGCAGCAATAAATGAAACGGTCACTAATCAAAGTCAATTTCATTTTAATGAAATAAAGCTTAGTAAAGCAGGCTAGTGAGCTCAAAAGAATTATTTTCATATGAAATCTAATAAACGGTTCACTAAGAAGCACAAAATGCTGACAATGAGCAGCTTCTCATTAGAATACTAAGTTTTAGATTTAAAAGACAAGAACGAAACTGACGGATGGAGATGGCTCACGCCACAATATGACACTTAATATGTAGAAAAAAATATAAAATCTTCAGTTTATCAGCTAATGAACTCAAAACACCTGCAAAGGCCTTTAAATGGTCTCAGTCTAGTTCTGTAGGCTACACAATCATGGGGAAGACTGCTGACTTGACAGTTGTCCAAAAGACGACCAGTGACACCTTGCATGAGGGCAAGACACAAAAGGTCATTGCTAGAGGCTGGCTGTTCATAGAGCTCTGTGTCCAAGCACATTAACAGAGAGGTGAAGGGAAGGAAACGATGTGGTAGAAAAAAAGTGTACAAGCAATTGGGGTAACCACACCCTGGAGAGAATGGTGAAACAAAACCCATTCCATTTTTCTTTGTATAGAAGGAAAATATTTTAGATATTTAATGTATTTCATTGAGGACAACAAAGATAACATTACGAACACCAATATATTTTACCTCTACGTTAGATATGTTCTGGATAAAGTTTTACAAGGCAATAGTCTATGCTAGATTATCTAAACGTTAGCTTGCTAACTTGAGAGGCACGGTGCTAATGACAAGCAGGTTGGAGAATTGAAGATAATTTATTATTGTTGATTTATTTAAATAAACTTACCATGTTCTGTTCCGCAAAACACGCTACACAGTATTGCTCCCTGCTTCGGCTGTGATGAAAGTGAAAAATGACGTGAATGGCCATGACTTGAAAGTAGTCTTCATGCACCCTCTGCTGGATACATTGCACAATTACGCCTTGTGCAATTAAGACGGCTGGTTCCCAGTATTTTTTATCAGCGCATAATGGGACACTTATCACCGATACGTTCCCAAACGCCTATATCGATCTAAAATATCAGCTCTACCGAAACCGTAGATACCGGTCGGGCTCTAATACATGGTTCTAATATCTTACCTGTTCCTAATGCTGACTGCATGGATCCATTCTCAAAATTCTTAAGGTTCATGTAAATTAAATATTTTAAACTTTTATTTACCAGAGCGGAAAGTGACGGCAGCAGCCAGCTGTAGCATTTCTGGCTCAGTCTGCCAGGAAAATCATTTTAACACATCTGATGCAAGCATAGTCGTTTATAAAACGACATTTACTTAAGACGGCGGCATTTATTTCTTTTGGGGTTCCACAGGGCTAGATTCTTGGACCCCTTTTGTTTTCACGATATCTGCTCCCTTTGGGGTCTTTCAGTTCATCGTTATGCTGATTATTGTCAGATTTAAATGCCCCTAAAACCTAACAGTTCTTGCTCTGTTCAGCCTCTATTAAAATGTCTTTATGACATCAAGGCATGGATGGCTTCAATTTTTTCAAGTTTTAATTTTAGACTCTGACTTTAAGTTTAATAAACTTGGCAGAGCTAGGACTAGCCATTAGCGTGTCAGTTTAGTCAGGATAAAACCATTTCTCTAAAACAGGTAAGATTAAAAATTCAGGACTTTAAATTTTAAAACCAACTCAAACAAATGTTTTTAGCTACATTGTAAATTAACAAAGTGACCAAAACACAAAGTGAAAATTTAAAACTTTTATTTGTAAGCCAAAGACATCGATCGCCTGCGCCTGTTGAACATGAACATAAAAAAAAAAAAAAAAAGCACGACAGCTGGCGCCATCATAAGACACGGACCTCACCGGAGGAGACATGCCGGGCGGAACCACAGAGTCCGACTCAAACCTTACAGCTTGGATTTAAATCAGAAACGGAACGGTTTCCCCTCCGGTGAAGAAGTCAAAACGATTCTGTTTGTTGAGGAAAATAAAATAAAATAAAATAACTGCAAGAAGCACAGGAGCATCGTCTACCTGCCGTGACAAAAACAACAAACGCAAAAGGCTTTACTGTCCCGTAATACTATTTGTAAAAAAAATATCCACCAGCTGTCAAGTGTCAATTTTTTCATCATCCTGTTAATACCGAAAAGAAAAAACAAACTATAACGCCTTAAAAAATGCACATATTTACCGTCACAACAAACTGGTTCTGGAGCTCCAATTCGTAAATGTTGATGGGAATT